CAGAAGAAGGGTACGGAAAAATCATTGAGAACGCGTTAAAAGAGCAGACAAGCGTTGTATCCGGCGAATCTGTTGTTGAACCTCTTTTGACCGCTGTTAAAAATATTGAATCGGCAAGCGCCGAAGCGGCTCCTGAAGTAAGGCAAGCCATACTCTCCCTGTTTAATGTAAAGGACATCAACAAGGGTCTGGAAACGATCGCGCATAAAATGGGCGCAGAGACAGACGATGAAGTACAGAATCTCGTATCCCAGTTGGCCTCAAATCTTACTGCGAGAGATATTAAGATAGCTAACGATCTTGAGCCGAGACTATTTGCAATCGGCGGCGGAGCCATTGATACGCTCGGCGAACTGCTTTCTGTCATCAAAGAAGTTAAGGCTACCATACCAGAACTTTCAGATACGCTTCAGAAAGCGTTTGACACCACAAGCGAATCTGCAAAGACTGCTTCTGAAGTGATCAAAGAAGTCGGCATGAGCGGGGCAATCACGAAGGAGCAGTATGACAAGCTTATCTCCGTGAATAAGGAATTTGCAAACGCCGTTGATAACTCCACCGGATATCTCACGCTGAATTACGACAAGATGCTTGATATTATTCAGGCTCAGTACGAAAGTCAGAAGGCTCAGGTGAAGCAGAGCAAAGCGATCAACGAGACGAATTACAGAGAAAATGTGAGGAATCTCATTCAGCTTGAATCAGAAATGAAGAAAGCTGGTGTCGGAACGGAGGCGTATACGAAGCTCCTTGAAAAGCACAACGCGATCGTAGAGGAACAGTCCGGCATCCGCGAAGAAATCCGCAATCTTGATCTGCTCGCCAATGCACTTGACTACGCCACAAGTGCCTATAAGCGCTGGCTCGATGCAAGGGAGATGCCTGAGTATAGCGATGAGTTTGGAAGCTTAAAGGATGCGCTCACCGATATCACAGAAGGAATCGACTCCGGCAAGATCGGATCGAGAAAATTCAAGACCGCTATGGAGCTGATCTTTGGCGACAACTGGGAAGAGCGCTTCGGGAAAGACACTGCGAAGATCAAGAAGGAAGCTGAAAATCTCGGTAAGTACTTCACCGAAGATTCCAGCGGTATGCAGAAAGGCATCGACAAGCTATTCAAAGGCGGATTCTTTGGAAAAGAAGACGGCAAGTACTTTGTAAACGCCGGAAAGACCCTTGCTGACGCCGCGCAACAGCTTGGATTGAGTGAAGAAGCAACGAAGATGTTCTTCAATGCGCTGAGGGATTACGGTTGGAACATCAACATCCCCGATCAGAATACAGAAACGACTATTGACATAGCGCAGATAGAGGAACAGCTTAAGAAGGTAAACGAACTCAAGAAGAAATACGACGATCTCTTGAAGAACTATGATCCATCAAATCCCACAGACGCAGAGACGAAGGCTCTTTCCGATGCGTATGCAGCGTGGAACAAGGCAAAGGACGAGCTGATAAAAAGCGATGCATCTTTTGCCGGAGTGTTTAACAATCTTGAGATCGGCGAAGTAGACAAGGCAAAGCAGAAGATTGAAGAATTAGAAGCTGCGCTTGAATCCCTTCAGGAACAGCTTGCGTCTGGTGACAAAACAGCTCTTGCACAAACCATTGCTGAAATCAATGCACTGATACAGAACGCCGGCGGGGACGGTGCGATTATATCTCTTAAGATGAACGAGGAAGGAACCCTTATCCCGACGATAAACGCGGAAGGGATGGAGTGGATCAAGGAGTCGTTCAACAAGGGAAGCCTTTCTGCGGAAGATACGCTTAATATTATCGGCAATTTCTCCGGCGATCTCGCAGGCAATCTTGATTTTATACAGGGTGTTCTTGCAAAATCTGCTGAAAACGGCGGAACCGGCTACAAGACCTCGCTTAACTTTATCGGTGAGAATAAAGACCTATTCAGAGGTCAGGGCGCATGGCTGCAGGATTTCATCGTTAAGAATGGTGGAAATCAAAATTTCGACGCAACGATAAAATTCATCGGAGACATAGATGGACTTATACCGGAAGGCACATATGAAGACTGGCTGAGAAGTGTACTGACCGGGCTGTACAACAACACGGAAGACAAGGGCGTAATCATTCGCTATATCGGGAATCATGACGAGCTGTTTAGCGACGACAAAGGATTTGCTTGGGTAAAAGATCTCATTGCAGACAACTGGCAAAGCGACCATAACCTGTTGATCAATTTTATCGGTGACAAGGAAGAGTTGTTTAAGCCAGAGACACAATGGCTACAGGATCTTTTGACCAGTTCTAAAACAGACGCCTTTGAAACGATCAATTTTATCGGTGAGCACGAAGGTCTGTTCAGAAACGATAAAAATCTGGATTGGCTTAAGGAACTTCTTTCCGGAGCAATGACAGAAAACCCACAGAAAACAATAGAGTTTATCGGTCAACATGCTGACCTGTTCAACGGCATTGAGTGGGTTGAGGATTTGATCAAGAACAAAACAAATGCAGAAGTAGCCAAAGCCGCTATAAATTTCATATCTAACCATCCAGAAGCGTTCGAGGGAGCAGATTGGCTCGTTGACATTCTTAAGGATAAGGCAGAAGAGGTGACGGTTCATCTAAAATATGTTAACGACAATGATCCGCCGGAATTCCTCGATAACAACGGAGAAGACGATTCTCCTGCGGTTCAAGTTGTTGCGGGAGACAATAAAGCCGTTGTACCTGACATCATTGAAGAGACGCAGGAAATCATCGACGAAAATCCGCTCACGACAGAGATTGAAGTTGGAGCGGACACATCAGTAGCAGAGCAAGAGTTAGACGAGCTTACCGGAGAAAAACGCACTGTTACAGTTACGGTCAACTATGACCACGGAGACGGTGGTAGCGGTGGTTCATTTGCGTCCGGTACAGTTACGGTCAACTATGACCACGGAGACGGTGGTAGCGGTGGTTCATTTGCGTCCGGTACAGTTACGGTCAACTATGACCACGGAGACGGTGGTAGCGGTGGTTCATTTGCGTCCGGTACAAAGAATGCTCCTCGCGGCCTGTCTCTTGTTGGCGAAGGTGTAAAGAACGGCAAGTATCAGCCTGAAATCGTTGTTCGCAAAAAGACCGGCGAGTACTTCTTGACAGACCATCCGCAACTTGTAAACCTTCAGAAGGGCGATCAAGTGCTCAACGGAGACGAGACAAAGAGAGCGTTGAGCGGAAGAAAGTCTATGAGCGGAAGGTCGTATGCGGCTGGCTTTTCTGAAAGGAAGCATATATATATAGAGGGCGCAGCAGGTCTCAAGACAATACAGGAGCAATTAGACGATCTTCTTAAAGCGTCCGGCGAAGACCTCGACGGAAAAAGAAAAGGCGGCGATGGCGGTAAGAAGTCCAAGAGCCTCAAATGGGTAGATGAACTTGTTGACTGGATTCCCCGCGCTCTGGAAGTGCTCAAGAAGAAGACTTCAGAGTATGTCCGCATGGCCGAAAAGGTAATCGGATATCTCACGAAGAACACCGAGCTTGACTACGCCATTTCCAACGTATACGACGAGATCGAACTGACAAAGAAAGCCTACGTGAGATACATGAAACAGGCTGATGAGATTGCCGACTATACAGAGCTGTCGCAGGATATCATTGAGAAAATCCAGAACGGAACAATCGATATCGAGCGGTATGACAAGACCACAAGAGAGTACATTTCTGAATATCAGAAGTGGTACGAGAAAGCAATCGCTCTTGAGACCACGCTTGAAAATCTTGAGGATCAGCTTACCACACTTGCCAAGCAAAAGCTTACGAATATCACGAACGAATTTGAGTCTCTGCGGGATATCATCTCTGGTAACATCGACTTGTTCGCTCAGTACATTGAGGAAACCAAAGCGTTTGGCGGAGAAATCATTGCCGACGATTACAAGGAAATCCTTGAGTACTCAGAAGATCAGATTGCCAATATCAGAGATGAAAGAAACGCTCTCGCTGCCGAGCTTCAGAATCTGATGGACAAAGGACTTGTCAGATACGGCGATGACATTTGGAGCGAATACACTTCAAAGATTATCGGCCTCGACAAGGAACTTTCTACCGCCATCGTAAGCATGCAGGAGTTCAAAGATACCGTATCCGACATTCCTGTGAACAACATTGAAGTCGTGAGAAAGTACATCGCTGAGATCCAGAGTAATCTGGACGACATGAGCAATCTGTGGAGCGCACAGGGCAAGTCTGAGCGCGAAAGCATGTTTAAGATGATGATAGATAACGCCTACGACACGATCGCCGCGCTGGAAAATGAAAACGCCGTGCTTGCAAAACAGCAGGAAGGACTTGATGTTCTCTCTGAGAAGTATCAGGAAATTCAGGACAAGATCAACGAGAATAGTCATTCCATCATGGAGGCAAAGTCCAACCAGGAGCAGTGGAATGATGCAATCATTGACGCTACCATCAAGAGGCTTCAGGAGCAGAACGATAAGTATAACCAGTCCATCGATCTGATGGAGAAGCTGGGTGATCTTGAGACCGCGAGACAGCGTCGCGCCAACATCTACCGCGATAACATCGGGTTCGTATACGAGGCAGACCCCGATCAGCTCAAGTCCGCACAGAAAGCTGTTTCCGATGTGGTGTTCGACACCATCATCAATGACCTTGAGGACAGCAAGAAAGACAGCAACATCTATGACGATTTCGGAAACTTGATCGCTGTAGATACCGGCCTTACCGGAGTGGATTTCTCCAAGTACTACGATTCTATTTCTACCGGAACGGAGAACTCCAAACTTCTTACGAGCGCATTGTCCGCAATCGACTATGCGAAGATCATGTCTGATGCTGCATCGAGCGGTGTGCAGATCGATCTGTCCGGCATGGTACTCAATGAGGTCAACGGCGTTGAAGATTTGAGCAATGCGATCATCAACTCTCTGCCGAACTATCTTCTTCAGTACCTCTATAAAAAGTAACAAGCTAAAAGGGGGAGCAGTTAATTCTGCTCCCCCACTTCAAATCGAGGTGATTCAATGTCAATAACAAACTTTACTTCAAAGAACAACGCTGACTTTGGCAGCGTACAGATAAATGCTTCATGGGATAACGAAGGTGCGAACAACTATCTGCTGTATCGGAAAGAAGGCGGCGATTGGGAACTCGTTCTCTCTGGCGAGTTCAGCGGAATCAACAGTATTGTGGTTCACGATGTTACAGCGTTGAGCGGGAGCGAATACCAGTACAGATTTTCTGTAAGGGACAGCGATACAACCCTCGCGACAAGCACGACAATCACACAGAAATGTGCGTTTGACGGAATCGTTATCTCTGACAACACCGGAACTTGGCATTCTGCATTTGGCACAAAGGAGAACGACTTCAAAATCAACGTCAAGAAGAACATCTCCGTAGGATATGTGAAGCCTCTTGCCGGCAAGTATCCTCACCGCATCGTCAACGCTCAAACCAACTATACTACAGGAACCGTAACTGGCCTGTTTGTTAACAGCAATAACGGATGCCCAGACTTTTCTAATTCCACCATGTATAGGGACGCCTTTGTTGAGTTCCTGTGCAACGGGAAAAAGAAACTGCTCAAGACGGGAAAAGGGCGGGCGTATGTTGTGAGCATCGACAACAACCCTGAGGAGAATTACAACTCCATTGACGAGCTGACGACAGTCACATTCTCTTGGACAGAAATAGAGTCAGCTTTCACGAATAAGTATTCACACGAAAGTCCTGTGTGGGGTGATGGCGTATGAGCATGAGCGCAACTCAAGACCAGATCGAGATTGCCCTTCAAAAAGATCATGTGTTCAGAATCAAAGTTGAGCTTTTGAACCAAGCTTTTCAGCACGAAGATGATATTGAAGGCGATGTGATCAACATATCGTTTGGCATAGACTCTTCGTCAGATATAAGACGATCTTCCACTGTAACGCTCGGCCTTGGCGACACAAGATTTGCAAGCGAAGAATTTGAGATCGGCTGGCTAAACAGGATCGTGCAAATCAGTCTGGCCATCGATAACGGTGTTATGTCTGCCGGCTTCACTCATGGAGAGCTTGCGGCATTTACAAACGAGTGGATGGCTGAACACACAAACGCGTGGCTGCGCGGCAAGGACTACACATACTTTATTCTTGGTTCCATGCTTCTGACGCAGGACGGCTATTCTTTTGATGCGGAAAACAACACGCTCGAACTGAGCCTTGTTGATTTGATGGCAATGGGAACGGCGGCAAGAGGTAGCCAGATCGGAACTCCTGTAAAGATTGAATACGAGGCAAATATTAAGGCCGCGCTTGAGGCGGTTGCGGCGAGATATATGAAATGCAAATCTACTGATATCGACGAGTTTCCCGATGTTATTCCGTTTGATCAGGAGTTTGGCTCTGGCGCATACGCATACGATATACTGTCTCAAGTCATCGGCTTATTCCCAACATATGAGCAGTATTTTGACAGCGACGGCATATACCATGTTCATGCTATCCCGATGCATGTAGACGAGGATGTTCTGCTTGATGAAACAGTAATGGATGAGATTATCATTTCAGAGAAAAGGGCGCTCAATATTTCTGATATCAAGAACTCTACCGAGATTTGGGGCAGAGAACTGACATCGGACTACAGCGCCGTTTCGTCCTCATATGATGCCGGAACAAACACATACACCATAGGATTTTTGGCAAGCCTTCAGAATGTGGAGGCGCAGGCGATGTATGCGTTTACCGTCCCTTATCCTAATCTCGCGAAGCCGTATGTGAAGATCCCGGTGCTGGGCGATGATCTGGTTACAACTGTATATGAGACCATTGAGATATGCGATGGGAATGGAAACGAACTTAAGGCGAACGCACTGTCTATGGGCATCAACTATGTGTTCCTGTGCATCATAGACCCGACGACGCTGGAAAAGAAATTCATCCTTCAGGGTGAGCGACTTATCCATGTGATTGTCAGGGAAATGAACGGTGAACCGACTGCGTCTGAAATACAGAGAGATAAGGAACTGAATGACTGCCGCGATATCTTCTATGTCGTGAACCCTGAGAACCCGTATGCGTGTGACAGAAACGGATACTCCATTGAGTACGGAGAAATCAGGCAAGTGCTTGAAGGCGGAGACTACTCATACATTTACACGACGCAGCTTGCATATGAGCGCGGCAAATACGAGAACTACCTGCGCACGAGACTGAACACTGATGTGGAACTTACAACTGTGCTTATTCCGTTCATCGATGTGAATAAGAAAATACAATATACTTCTCCGATCACCGGCGAGGTACATCAGTATCTGATCAAGTCTGTCGATTTTGATATACTGAATTTTACGATGACCATGAAGCTCTCGCGCTTCTATAACTACTATCCGTTTTGACGAAAAAATAAGGGGTTACATTTCGTAACCCCTATTTTTACCTTGTCCTTATATAAACTAACCACTCGTGTTGGCTTATATAAAAACAAAACATCGTCCCTCCTACCAGATTCTACAAGACACTTTTCGGAACATTGATTTCGCCTGAAAGCCTTGATAAATAAGGCATTTCTGCGCCTGTTCAGGAACACTTTTCGGAACACATTGCCCGTTTTTCATTACCAGATACTACATCCAGCATCCTTTGCATGTGCAAAACGGTACAGATTATTACCTAAATGCCCCAAAAAAGGGCAAAAAAAATGGAGCTGATGACCAGAGTCGAACTGGTGACCTCATCCTTACCAATCAGCCAACGCGTCAACTCACGCGTTGGCACTGCGTTTGGCGGTTGGTTACATGATAGCCTGCTTTACCTGATTGAAAATCTCATCGCGGTACTTAATGTAACGGCGCTCGGTTGTCTCCGTCTTTGCGTGGCCGAGAAGACGGGCGATGACATCAAGGGAGACACCCTTCTCGCGCCACTCTGTAGCGCAGGTGTCGCGGAAGTCGTGTGCGGTATACTCTGTGAGGTTGAAGTACTGGCGAATCTTGTTGTACGCGCGGCGAGCCTCTGTGTAGGAAAGCGGATCACCGTTCTTGTTGGGAATGACGAAGCCGGTGCCTTCACCGAGAACACGCAGAACTTCCGGATGACACGGGATCCTGCGGACGGAAGTCTTGGTCTTGGGCGATTTGATCTCAGGCAGATTGCGCGTGGGATGCACGACCGCTCTGGTTATTGAGATCGTGCCGTCTGAGATGTCTTCGTACTTGAGTCCGAGGCATTCCTCGAACCGCATGCCGGTATAGCAGAGAAGAACGGCAAGCCTCCGTTCGCGGTCTTCAAGCTCATCAATATGCTCTTTCATGTATGAGAAAAGCTCCTGCGGGATCGCCTTGTGGCCAACCGTATCGGAGCCACCGATCTTGAGGCGCTTGGATGCGAACGGATTGCGCTTGATGATATCATCTTCAACGGCGGAATCAAGGACAGGAGACATGGTGTTTTTGATCTTCAGAAGCGTTTCGTGAGAAAGCCGCTGTCCGAGATCATTCATCCAATCCTGAAGAATGTCTGTCGTGATGTCTGTGATGTACGCCTTGCCAAACTTGCTTCTTACATGGTTGTTGAAGATGCGATCACGGTTGATCATTGTATTGGATTCCTGATCGTTCTTGTAAGTGCTGTAGTATTTGTCGGCGTATTCACAGAACAGAACGGGATCCGGTTTGCTTTCTTCCCTGACCGGCGCGGATATACTGCTCATAAGACGGATACAGGATTCGATAAGTGACTGAACATCGGAGCCTGTGATCCAATGAGATTCTCCGTTGATGTTTACGAGCTGCTTCATTCTGGACATATCTAATCCTCCTTCATTTGAAGGAGGGACGATATATTTGTCAATGTTCCGAGCCAGCCTGTCTGATATCAGGTCGGCAAGTTTATTATAATCAAAATTTTCCTGCATTGTCAATGGCCTTTCGTATAAATAAGTAAAAGAGGACTTGTCGCCCTTTTGGGTTTCAAATCCTCTTTGCTTTATTAGTTTGTCTTTACAATCTTAAATTTATCTTAAATGAAAAGAGTAGGTTTGTCCGTCAGATTGAACCGATATCAATATAATCGAACCCAAGATCTGTCAATTCCTTTTTTCGTTGGGCGGATCTTTTAACCGGATAAAACACGGTAACACCGGTAATATCATCTGTGAACATATCTCTTAATATCACGATGCCATTAGTGCTTTCATCTCCATAAGAATTTTTAGTTGATGAAAATTTAACATATAGCACATCGTTATAAGCATCATATATCTTGCTCAGGATAGGTTTGCTTGTCAATGTTTCCTCCAACTCCTTTTCTCGGCCAAGCACTAACGACATAGCCGGTTGTTCCTCCCTCCGTATCATATTCAACTATCGTTTTTGTCACGAATCCTGCTTTGTAATATGTCGCCTTTGGTGAAAGTTTGAAAAAGACTTCTCTGTTTGTAAATTCACCACTGGTGAAAATAGCATCAGGGCTTTCTATCGTATCATAGACGGCTGTAAAGTTATCAGCCATAATCTCGTGTCCATCTATAATATGATCGCGCTCTGGTGCGTACAAAGACACCGTACGAGAAAATGGATCTTTTCCACTCCATATGAGTGCATCATCATTGTGTTCTTTATTCATTCAGCCTTCTCCTCGGCTGACGTATTAAGGAACTCGCGCATGCGGTGTAACATATTGACCGACATTGTAATGGATTGCTCACGAAGGATTCGTTCTTCCACAACCTTACCGTTTTCATCGATCGTCGGAATAACCCACTGGAATGTAATGTGCGCCTCTTGTCCAGCCACAGTAAATTGAGCCTTATTTGCAAACATAGGATTATTGTCCATTTCATTCCCTCCGGATTAAGAATTCATGTACATAATATCACTTTGTCTGCCACGATGTCAATAAGGTAGATAAACAAGTGAGCCGGGGAAATAAGCTAATGCTTAAATCCCCGGCCTGTGTAATAGCATCAGAGTCCGGTGGAGCCGAAGCCTCCGCGACTCTTGTTTCCGAGCGTCTGCACCTCCTCGATCATAAGCTGAGGCTGATTTTTCTCAACTCTGAACTGGCAGATGCGTGTTCCCTTCGGAATATGGGTAGGCTTGATGGCGATGGCCGGGAACATCCACTGATCGCTGTCTCCGCAATAGCTCGCGTCGATCACACCCATACTGTTCGCCTGAATGATAGACCAGTTTTTGTAGGTAGAGGAGCGCGGAACGATGTGCGCTTCGTATCCTTCCGGAAGCTGGATAGCTACACCCAGCGGGATCAGCTTGAACTGACCGGACGGGATATACACATCCTCTGCCGTATAAAGATCGACCCAGTCTGAGCCTTTGACCTGAACGATCTTGTTCATATCGTCATACAGATACCTTACCTTGATGGAAACAGAATCACTCATTCGCGTTATCCTCCGTTTTAACATACAGTCCGCAATGACATTCGCCGGACTTTTGTTCTCTGAATTCCTTGCACATGCATTTTGTATCAGGCGTTTTTTCCAAGCGGCACGGACAGTAACCGCCGTTTTCTCTGAGCGCCTTTGATACTTCCTTAACGACCTCGCGGTCGCTGTTGAGCCTGATCATAGTGAAAGCCTTTCCGCGTACTGGTTTGGAGAGGCAAGCTCTATGCCAAGCACGCTGTCGTAATGATGGGGCTGGTTCGGAATAAACCTTCCGTACTTGATGATGATGTTTTTGTAGCTCCTCAGACGGTTGACGTAAAGTTGAATTTCATCCCTGTCGTAGCCGGTGTAGATCACGATGTCGTCATCTGTTACTCTGCGAAGCTCTTCGACGAGACTGATAACATCTGTGAATGTGACCATCGGCTCAAGACCGGCAAATATGATTGCTTCAGTAATGCTGTTTTTTATATAGCGCTGCGCGATCTTAGCCGCCGGAATATCAACAGACGGCTGCTTCGCGATGGCGCTGTTCTGGCAAAGGCCTTCGTCCATGCCGGCTTCTCTGCAGCACTTGAAATCGCATATCGGAAACGCGACCATCATGGACGGCTTTTTGTAATCCTGAAAATCTTCGTCAACGATGTCTTTGATATACATCAGAGATCCTCCCCGATCTTGTACCATTTGCGTTCGTCAAATTCCCGTCTGCGCTGCTTGCTGTAGGATGAAGCCGGCGTAAGGAATCCGACAACACGGGTGTATGTATCGTACTTGGGCTTGCCGCATGTGGGGCATGTTTCGCCAAAGAACCCGTGCTCATTTTCGCAGACAGAAATCTTTGTGTTGTAAGCGAAGTAGATCACACCGGACGCGGCGATCTTGTTCAGAAGATTCCATGCCTGTTCCTCGTTGGCAAATCTGCCTTCAACATTTGCGTGACAAATCGCCCCGCCCCCACATTCTTTATCAAGTATCGCTCCGAGACGGATCTTCTCGTCGATTGTGCATTTCTCAACGAGAGGGATCCACTGGTTAGAATAGATGTAGTATCCTGCTTTGTCCGGATACAGCGCGTTGTCCTTTTCACACAGGACGACATTGGCTCTCTCAGCCGGTACACACTCCACATTGATTGAGAAGCCGAGCTTATAGGCTTCCTTCTGCTCGTTGATCGTATTCAGAATGCGCTTGGCGAACTGTATGGCCTTATCTGAATAGGACTTGTAACCAAACTCGTCCTCGTCGATATATCCAAACTCATTCATCGCTTCGTACATAGCCGTAATACCAATGGTGGAATACTGTTTTTCCATGTCGATCAGGCCGTAAGTGTAGTTGGGAAGAAGTCCCTTCTCGATGTTGCGCTTGATGATTGAGCGGTTAATATCCAGTACCTTCACGCACAGATCGATCCTGTCTTTCAAAATCTCAATGTACCGATCCTCGTCCCCGTCCGCCTCAAGAGCGATCCTGCGAAGGTTGATCGTGTTGACCTTTACAGAGCCGATGGACAGCGAAGTGCCGCCGATGGAATTAATGAACGCGTCCAGCTTGGACATATTGCTGATGAGCCGGCAGCAGTTGGACAGCGAAGTAACATCGCTTCCGACATAGAAGTTGGAATCGTACCACTGCATATTGTGCCTGTTGCACCAGCGGGCGAAATCTTCATCAACGAACTTCCCGTTCTGGTAAAGCAGAGAGTATGACAGAACCGGAAATGTCATCATTGTATGACTTCTTGTCTCTGACACGACCTCCATGAACACTTTCTGATGCTCAATGATTCCTTCAATGTGGTCGATAATAAGCTCCCCATCCGGGAACTCGCGACCGCCGAACAGCTCGATCAGATAGTTTCTGTCCATGATTGTGATGTTGGTGAAGGCGCATTCTGTAACGCGGAGATAGGGCTGATTGAGATCGTAGATGAATTTCTGGAAACACTGCCGACGGTAGTACTCAGGATCCTTCAGGTAAAAACCG